TTTTTTTTTTTTTTTTTTTTTTTTTGTACTGGGGGATCGAATTCAGGACCTTATGCTTGCCAGGTAGGTGTTTATGGCACTGAGCTATCTTCCCCCAGATGGTTTTTTTTTTGGGGGGGGGGGTTATCTTTTTGAGGCAGGATCTTACTGTGTAGTTCAGAATGGCCTTGAACTCACTTTGTAACCCAGGCTGGCAGCGATCCTCCTGCCTCAGCCTTCACTAAGTTCTGGGATTACAGGCATGCACCACCATGCCCAGCTTCTGTACGGATCTTTTCAGGCAGGTCTTATGGTACTATTCAAGGCTTATGGTGACTTGCCTTTCCTCAGGTAGTGGACATATTAAAGAGGTCATTGTGGCTGCTGATGCTGAGCCAGGGGACGCTGAGGTGGCAGAGACTCCAGGTAGTCCCAGCCATCAGGGAATTGAGCTTGCTGTGGAGGGTGAGCAGGCACAGGCCAAGCTGCTGGTGAACAAGGATGGCCGCTATGTGTGTATGCTGTGTCACAAGACCTTCAAGACGGTGAGCCCCTGGGGCCAAGGGCTGGCCAGGCTTCCTGTCTTCTACCCAGGGAAGTGCCTTGAGCCTCACTGCCCCTCCCCTGTAGGGCAGCATCCTCAAGGCCCACATGGTCACCCACAGTAGCCGTAAGGACCATGAGTGCAAACTCTGCGGGGCCTCCTTTCGGACTAAGGGCTCACTCATCCGGCACCACCGGAGGCACACAGGTGAGCTTCACCTTCCCAGCTGGCCTTGGGGGTACCCTACCCCCTGGCCTGTGTCCGTTTCTTAAATAAAAAGCCAGGGGTTCCTTGGCTGCCTTCCCCTTGTCACAGGGTTACAGGCTGATGTCTGCTGAAGGCTGACTGTTCTTTCCACAGATGAACGCCCATATAAGTGTGCTAAGTGTGGGAAGAGCTTCCGGGAGTCTGGTGCGCTGACTAGGCACCTCAAGTCTCTCACTCCATGTACAGAAAAAATTCGCTTCACTATGAGCAAGGACGTGGTTGTGGGCAAAGAGGATATGCCTACAGGTCAGCATGGTAGGATCTTCCTGGGTATTTGGGGCTGCTGTTCCTGTACTTGGCCTCTGGCCTAGGTACCACTGCTCAAGGGAAATGCTTCAAGAACTCACTCAATTCTGCCTTAAAGCCTCAGGTGCCTCTACCATGGGGACAGTTACGTCTTCATCAGTGACGGGTGAGCATATGGACACATCACCAGTAATCCATCTGGTGACAGATGCAAAGGGCACTGTCATCCATGAAGTCCACGTCCAGATGCAGGAACTGCCGCTGGGCATGAAACCCCTGGCCCCAGAGGTAGGGCCACTCTCCGTTCTGCCCTCTGCTCATTTTGCTTTTTTTTTTTTCCCTTCGGGGGGGTAGGTAGTGGTACTGGGGATTGAACTCAGGACTTTGTGCTTGCTAGGCAGGCACTTATGCCACTGAACTATCTCCCCAACCCCTCATTTTGCCATTTTTCTACTCTGGCACTGACTCCAGCAGGAATAGGCAGTTAGAGCTGCTGGCAGGAGCTCAGTTTGCCTACAGAAGAACTAAAGAGATCCTTAGATGGTGGGTAGCATGGTGGAGGGCAGGCAGGGCAGGGGAAGGGCCCTGGGGTTGACTGAGCAGAGGTCAAGGTAGGAGTGAGGAGGACCAGGCTTCACCTAATGAAAGCAAAATAGCTAGGGCTAGAGGCTGTGCACCACAGGGCTCTAAGACTACACAGTGCCTCTGGGGGCCATGGACCTGGTGTGAGTCTGCACTGTACGGTGTGTTGTATGCTGGGGCCAACCTGCCTCTCTGCTTTCTCTGCAGCCTCCAGGCCCTGAAGAACTTCCTTGTTCCAGTGAGGGCAGCCGTGAGAACCTGTTGCACCAGGCTATACAGAATTCTGGCATCGTTCTTGAGCGGGTCACTGGAGAGGAGAGTGCCCTCGAGCCAGTCCCAACCTCTGGGTCTAGTCCTCAGCCCCTGGGAGATGGACCTCCAGAACTCCCACTATTGGAGGTTGAGCAGATGGAGACAGTAGGTGTCTCATCTTGGCATTCTCCTCCTGGGGGCTGGACCTAGGAGTTGGATCACAATGATGCCTGTGCTCCTTGTAGTGGGTAGTAGCACTGCTTCACTACCTTCCCTGGGATGATGAGGGAGCTGGCCAGGGTGGGTGTACTGGTCTTATCCTTGGTGTGCCAGAGGTACAACTTGCAGTGAGTGCTGGAGGCTTGTTTGTGGTCCCCCAGCAGGTGTCCAGTGAAGCTTCCACTGTGCCTAGGACCCACCCATGTCCTCAATGCAGTGAGACCTTCCCAACAGCAGCCACTCTGGAGGCTCACAAGAGAGGCCACACAGGTGGGTGGTATAAGGGCAGGTAGGTCCGTGGACAGTGAGAGGCCTGGGGGCAGCCAGGATGGCTGGTTCTGCAGTAGGTGGCCACATGTGCTGTGGGTGGCAGGCCTGGCTGATGTTGTATGTGGTCCCAGGGCCGAGGCCGTTCCCCTGTGCACAGTGTGGCAAGGCCTTCCCCAAGGCCTACCTGCTCAAGAAGCACCAGGAGGTACATGTGCACGAGCGCCGCTTCCGCTGTGGGGACTGCGGGAAGCTGTACAAGACCATCGCCCATGTGCGTGGCCACCGGCGTGTCCACTCCGATGAGCGGCCCTTCCCTTGTCCCCAGTGTGGCAAGCGCTACAAGACTAAGGTGGGACCCTGGTGTCTGACTAGTTGTGTAGCCCTGGGGCCACATGGACCCCTTCTATCCCTGCCTCCCCCATCCTCAGCCTGCTCAGTCTCTGCTTCTCAGGCCCAGCAGTGGGTGGGGATAGCCTTGGTCCGCTCTGGCTGAGACCAGGCTGGCATGGACTGGTGTCCACAGAATGCCCAGCAGGTGCACTTCCGGACACACTTGGAAGAGAAGCCACACGTTTGCCAGTTTTGCAGCCGAGGCTTCCGGGAGAAGGGGTCGCTCGTGCGGCATGTGCGGCACCACACTGGAGAGAAGCCCTTCAAGTGCTACAAGTGTGGCCGTGGTTTTGCTGAGCATGGCACGCTCAACCGGCACCTGCGTACCAAAGGTCTGGGCCAGTGGGTGGTGAGAGGCATGAGGGCTGGGGGCTTTGCTTGGTCATGACTGAGCTTCCCTACTCTGGCAGGAGGCTGCCTAGTGGAAGTGGAAGAATTGCTGGTGTCTGAGGAGAGTCCCTCAGCAGCTGCCACTGTGCTGTCTGAGGATCCCCACACTGTGTTGGTAGAGTTCTCATCTGTGGTGGCTGACACACAAGAGTACATCATTGAGGTGGGTGTGGAACTGGTGGGGCTAGGACAGGGCCCAGCATGGTCCAGACTAACTTCTGACCATCTGTCCAGGCCACTGCAGATGATGCGGAGACCAGTGAAGCTACAGAGGTTATTGAGGGCACCCAGACAGAGGTGAGGGGTCTGGCAAGGGTGGGAGGCTGGTCTGGCCCCTTGAGCAGTCTCTTGGGCTGAGCTGTGGTTCCTGCAGGTGGACAGCCACATCATGAAGGTGGTACAGCAGATTGTGCACCAGGCCAGTGCTGGGCACCAGATCATTGTCCAGAATGTGACCATGGACCAGGAGGCAGGGCTGGGCTCGGAGGCAGCCTCTGCAGACACCATCACCATTGCCACCCCTGAGAGCTTGACAGAGCAAGTGGCCATGACACTGGCCTCAGCTATCAGTGAGGGTACTGTGCTTGCAGCCCGCACAGGCTCAAATGGCACTGAACAGGCCACTGTGACAATGGTGTCATCAGAGGACATCGAGATCCTCGAGCATGCAGGCGAGCTGGTCATTGCTTCCCCAGAGGGCCCGCTTGAGGTGCAGACAGTCATCGTTTAGCACGGGGCCTGCAGGATCCCATTGGGCTGGGGCAGCAGCAGGGGCAGAGGTAAGGATCCTCAGTGTCCACCCATGCCTACCTGGTCTGGTAGAGAAGACAGCTGAGACTTGCAGGCATCCAAAGGAGATGGTGTGTAAATATGTGGAAGTTTTTTGTTGCTTTACAATAAAACGTGGAAACTTGGAGCTTGTGATGTTGGGAAGTGGCCTTTGGAGGTGACTTCTGGCAGCACCTCCTGCCCAAGCCACACTTGTTCAGATTCCTGGCCACCAGCCCAGGAGTATTGTCAGCCCTGGTGGCTCCTCTGGCTTATGGGTGTCTCTGACATGTTGACAGGCAGCCTCTTGCCACTGTTCTTTCCAGCTGGAGGTAAGACCCCAGCTTCTCTAGGCCTGTGGGGTTGGGGAAATGCTCTGCTTTCCAGCCTCCTACCTTGGGCTGCCATGGGTTAAAGTTTGAGGCTGAGACCCAGGAACCTCAAGTTGAACAGCCACAGCTTTTCACTCTGAGGTGAGGACAGGTATAGGCAAAGCAACAGGGGATGTCGGACCTGGAATAGGACTAGTCTTTCCTGATTGCTTATTTTCCCAAGAGGATGTGGCTCAAGGAGCAGATTCTAGGTGACCTACTTTCTGGGGAAGTGGAGATGAGAATAAGGCCTGGGCCATGGATGTGACCGCTCCTTTTCTGAAGTCCTGAGGCTATCCTTAGGTGGCCTCCAGGGGCTTCCTAGGTGGCTGTGGGATAAGCCTGGAACACTAAAGTTGGCTCAGGACATCTGTCCCTTGCTTTCTGGGGTTTCTTTGAGAATGGGAGCTAGTAGTTCTGCCCTGTACTCGATGGAGGCGGGACCCAGGGGAGCCCTGCCCCTCCCTGGAGCAGGGCCTCAAATACCCACCCACCAGGCCTTGCATCATTAGAGCTCCTGCTGGGCCAGGACAGACCTCAGGTCCCCAGTAGGACCAGTACCTCAGAGCCTCTGCCACAACTTAATCCACTTCTCAGGTAAGTCTTGAGACTAGGTTGAGCTGGAGGCTGGCTGGCTGGGAACAGGATCCCTGTATTTAACTTTACTTATGCAGTAGAATCTCCATGGTTGGGAGAGCCTGGTGCATCACTGGGGATAGAGAGGGCTGGGCTGACCTGGCGAATGTAGGAGTGAATGTGTTTTTTCCAAGGCCAGTGCTGGGGGCAGACCCAGCAGACTCCGGCAGGGTGTGGTTGGGTATTACTCCCAGGTTGTTCCTGACCCTTTCAACTCCTCAGCTTCTGCCATGGGTGGGCGTGGCACCCTGCTGGTGGCAGTCTGGGTGCTGGGGTTTGAGGGGTCTGTGGCGCTGCGCATTGGAGCCTTCAACATCCAGAGCTTTGGGGACAGAAAAGTGTCGGACCCAGCCTGCGGCAGTGTCATCGCACAAGTAAGACCAGGAACACAGCTTGGGGTGTGGGGGCAGACTGGGATCCAGGGCATGTTTGACAAGCTCTTCGACCTAACAACTCCTCCCCCAGATCCTGGCTGGCTACCACATCATGCTTGTGCAGGAGGTGCGGGACCCAGACTTGAGTGCTGTCACAGTGCTCTTGGAGCAGATCAACAGGTGTGGTGAACACGACCCCTGTGTGAACCCTCAATCTTGATAGTTGTCTCAGTGTCGCACTTGACACAGAGCTTGGCCCTTCTCTTCACAGCGAGTCCAAGCATGAGTACAGCTTTGTGAGCAGCAAGCCACTGGGTCGGGACCACTACAAGGAGATGTACCTATACATATACAGGTGATATCAGGGGCCTGCAGGGAGGGGCGTGCAGGGCCCAGGTGGCAGGCTTAGTGGACCACCAGGCCTCTGCTCCCAGGAAAGATGCAGTGTCGGTTGTGGAGACATACCAGTACCCAGACCCAGAAGATGTCTTTAGCCGGGATCCTTTTGTGGTCAAATTCTCCATCCCCAGCTGTGGTGAGGTTGGCTCCAGTCCTCCCAAGTCCCTATCTTCAAGGGTACACTTGGAAAGCTCTCCCTTCCTCAGCCCATCCCCCCGTAACACCTCTTGCCCTCGCAGCTGCCAAAGAGCTGGTGTTAATCCCACTGCATGCAGCACCTCACCAGGCTGTGACTGAGATTGATGCCCTTTATGATGTGTACTTGGACGTGATCAACAAGTGGGGCACTGATGTAAGCTCACTACCCAGTTCTTGGTCCCAGAGTCCCACTGGTGCATGCCAGGGGTTTGGGTCACCAAGCCAGTCTCAGACCTCAGTGGCACCCACAGGACATGCTGTTTCTGGGTGACTTCAATGCGGACTGCAACTATGTGCGGGCACAGGACTGGGCAGCCATCCGCTTACGTAGCAGTGAAGTCTTCAAATGGCTCATCCCTGACAGTGCTGACACCACGGTGGGCAACTCAGATTGTGCCTATGATCGCATTGTGGTGTGCGGTGCCCATTTGCGGAGGAGCCTAAAGCCCCATTCTGCGGCTGTGCACGACTTTCAAGAGGAATTCGGCCTAGATCAGGCTCAGGTGTGTGGGAAGAAATCCCGTCTTGGGCCTTGCTGACACAGACTAGGAGGAAAGGCTAGGATACTGTTTCTGCTTCCCTTGCAAAATGCTTATGGCCTAAGGTCTACAGACCCTCAGCCCGTGCCACCAGGGTGTTTGCTGGGTCCTCTGCTGTTCCCACAGACACCAACTGTGGACAGTAATGGGTGGACACCTAGGCCTTACTGGTCCCCTTCCCATAGAGGCAGTGGTTTGTGTATAATTATTGGACCCATTGTACTACAGGACTGCTTAGGCTCTGTTCCTTCTCTTTTCAGGCTCTTTCCATCAGTGACCATTTTCCTGTGGAGGTGACCTTCAAGTCCCATAGATAGCCCGGAGATCTGGCCAGAAATGTCATCTAACTTTGGCCACAAAATGTGGCACCATTCAGGTGGCAGGCAGGCTATTCTCCCATGAGGATGCAGGACGGGGTCACCTGGGCAGGAACATGTCCACGGACACATTCTAGGGACTACTCAGAGCCTCAGTTTCCCTATCTGTAAGTAAGGCTAACACTACCTACCTCTCAGGGTTGTTGTGAGGAGCAGCTACATATGGTGCTCTGTGCAGTACTTCCCAGTCTCTGCCTAATAAACAAGCTGCTCTCAGCCAGGATCACACAGGTTGGCTCCTGTCTTAGGACCCTGCCCTTCTGGGGTACAAGCCTTGGATCTACCACCCAGTGGGCTGATGATCCCAGCCTCCTTAGGGAACACAGAGAATCTGTCCTCCCTACTTTTTATTCTGGTGGGAACTTGTAATCTTCTGACTGTACTAGCTCCAAAGGCAGCTCAGAAACTGCCCATTCTTTCTCCTGCAGCTGCAAGTGCTTCCAAGAGCCTGCTCCATTAGTGTAGCTGGCATGGTACTGCATCACACAAGAGCTTTCCAGACCTTGATAGATTTCAAAATAGGCTTTTACATCCATCCTGGCACTAGGGATCCCCAGGGGACTTGTCTGAATTAGAGGTCCTGCCTCATTTAGTTCTACAAAGGGAAGTCGGGGAACCTGGCCACAGGTCCTCAGTCAGTCATCTGCCCTGGGACTTTTGGGGAGCTCCTCAGCATGGGCAGGCTACTTGGGGTCTCTCCCATACCACACATATGACTCAAGGCTAGAAGGTTCTACCCAGAGACTGCATACCTTGTCTGGAGACAGGTCTGTGTGGTTTCCTCTCTAGCAGCCCTGGGTTGGGCGAGGACCTGCTGTAGGGTAAGCCTCTGTGCCTGGGGTGAGCCCACTACTTCAGGAGCAGAAAGAAGCAGTTTCATGGGCACAGGGGTCTGATGAGATTTCCAGATTTTGAAATAGTTCAACTTGGGCAGAATTTGGAAACTGGCCTAAATTATATGGAAGAGAGTCTTTGTTTCAAGAGGTTAGAAAAAATTCGGTTTTTCTAAAATTAAGATTCAGGATTTTGGCAATAGTGCATGCCTTGGACATCTAATGCTCTGGGGGCTCCCTCTCCATGCTGCCAGATCTTTTGAATAGCTGTGTACTCCATCCAACTTAGCAAGCATGGTGCCAAAGTTTTTTTCTGGAGGTGGGGTGGGGGTTGGGGGAGGGTCCTGTGAGCCTTACTTGGTCTTTAAAGCCTCCAGCAAGCAAGTAGCCAAAGGCTAGGTATGGGACAGCCTGAAGACTTTATTCATAATTCTGCTTTGGGAAAGGAGACTGATTTTGTTTGGGCCCACAAGGACCCACCAGCCATTAAATCCAAAAATTTAGGTACTGCTCTTCAACCCTCTTGCCTTCCCACAAGGCACAGAGGCACTTGGGGTTACAGTGGGGCCTTGGGATACTGGGACACAAGAGATGGCACTCCTTAAGATCAGAAAACAGCTGAGTGAGTTGAAAATTACCTTGTTTACAATCCCCTTTGGACCACAGCAAAACCTACAAGGCAGGTAGCTTTGCTTTAGGATTTCTTTTGTTTGAGCTTTTCTATGTACATCTGCAGGGACTTCTGTATGGAGTCTCTGGAAATGAAGCTGACAAAGTTCTGGATGTCTGCTTCCCGCTGTTTGATCAGGTTGTCTGTTGTGGCCTTCCGCATCATGCTCTTGGTCAGCTGCCGAGCATGGTCTAAAGAAAATGAGGTCCACCTATGAAAACCCACTTGCCCAGACAGTGGGGTCATTCCCAATCTTTCTCAAGCATTCACACAGAAACTTGGGTAGAGAACTTAGAAAATATGGTAAGGCTAAAGTCTCCTATCCCCACTGCTCACTGATTTCCCTGAAAACCATAGGGTGACTATAAAAATTGCCTTTTTAAACATTTTCACTAACTTATATTATTAAAAATATCCTCATCAAACATTCATCTGTATCAGGGGTCCAAAACTGGCTTCCCAAGAGAAGATGCCAAGGAGGAAGATATAAACAGTTTTCACCCTTTTTTTAGATAGGGTACTCACTATGTAGTTCAGGCTGGCCTTGAACTCTGTGTATCCCAGGCTGCCTCAAACTCATGGCAGTCCTCCTCCTCACCCTCTCTAGTGCTGCGATTATAGGCATGTGCCACACCTGGCTATATTCACCTTTTTTTAAATTAGTTGGAAAAATTTGATAGGTTGGGCAAGGTGGCGCATGCCTGTGATCCCAGTACTACGGAGGCTGTAGGCAGGAGAATGATCAAGAGTTCAGAGACCAGGCTGGGGAAATGGCTCAGTAGAATAAGCACTTGCCTGGCAAGCACAAGGGCCTGAGTTCAATTCTTGGTTCTGCTAAAGAAAAAAAAAAAAAGTTCAGAGACCAACCTGGGCTACAAAGTGAGCTCAAGGCCAGCCTGACCTGGATAACGGGACCCTGTCTTAAAAAGGAAAAAAAAAAAAAAAAAAAAAAAA